CTCTTTCCCCAGGAGAGACCTTCTCCACTCCAGTGGTAGAGTGTTCATCTTTATTTTTTTGTATAGTACCGGCAAACAAGTTTGCACATTGCAAGTATTTTTTCCTATAACTACAACTACTCTGCCAGGGAGAAAGCCCAAATAGCCTCGTTGAGGAGGGTGGGACACTGGTTTTGGAGGCCAGGGGACATAGGTTTGGGAGTGTTGGCATCTAAGTGGTAACTGAAGCTATGGGCGTGGCCCAGGTTGCCTAGGGAGGGCATGCAGAGCGAGAAGAGAAGGGGGACAGGAACTTGTATGTGTAAGGACTTGGCAGAGGAACACCAGGGAGGGAGGACAACCCGGCAGACATGAACTCATGGACGTCAAGGGAAGAGACGTTTCGCAAAGGCAAGAGCGGTCAAGCAAGAAGAAAACAACTTCAGGGAAAGCTTTTGCAGACAATTAAGTGCTGTGAAAGGGCCCCATTCTGAGGCGAAGCTACGGGAGGGGCAGCCATCCCACCAGTTAGCCTTGGTGCCGGTAGAGAGAAACTGGACTCATATGACCACCTTTGAGCCTTTGAGTTCTTTGCTTTATTTTGTCTTTTTCCTTTGCTTTTGTTTTTTAGCATTTAATGTCCCGTCAGTGCCTTTTCCATTTCCGTCTCTTACTCTGCTCCCCCAAAGTTTGAGATCTAGAAGGATGGCCTGGCTCTCTCCTTCCTCTGCCGGTGGCTCTGCTCACTCCTAACTCTGCCTCCGCATCCCTCTTGCAGGCACTGAAGATGCTGGCCATTGCCAGCACCTTGGAGAACCCCGACTTCTTTATTAGTCAGGATTCTGGCCCCCCGTTGTTCGATGTGCAGATGACCAGAGAGATCTTCGCCAGCATCGACTCAGCCACCCCCCCGGGCTCGGACAGCCTGCTCCTCACCATCCCTGCCGCGCTGACCTTGATGCTGAACACAGAGGGGTCAGGGCCTCACCCTCCGAACTTCCAACTCCCGCCGCACCCCAGTCACCACTGCTCTCCCCCCGGTCACTGCCCCTCAGAAACTCCCTTGTTTGTGCCTCCGGTGGAACTTCAGTGGCCTCTTTGACTGTCGTTGGGGCAAGGGCCAAGTGCTTGAGGGCAGGGGGACGCCCAGCGAGCAGAGACACCCTGGCCTTTCCTTCCTTCTTGGGATTGGGCGGAGTGACCTGAGGCTGAGGACCCCTGAAGCCCCTTCCTCCCCCGATGCTGGGCTTCTCCCCGGTGTATTTACTTCCTGTTTCTGTTGTGTTCACTCTGTCAATTTCTTCCCGGGCCACCTCTCTCCTCCCAGGTGCTCCTCCGCAGTGAGAAATGGCCTGATCCTGCTCAGCCTGCTTCTGTGCAACCACCACACTCTGGGAGACCAGATTATCACCCGAGAGCTGAGAGACACCATGTTTAGGCACTCGGGGCTTGCCCTGGGGACGGACCCCATGCCCACCACGCGCACCATCCTCATGATCCTCTTCAACCGCTACTCGGAGCCGCTGGGCAGTCCCGAGCGCACAGGTACCATTGTGGGGAGGTGGTCTGCTGAGGAGCCAGGCAGTGCCCGCCGGTGGCCAGGAGGCTGCCACTGGCATCCTCAGACCTTACTAGAGGGACACCGGGAGCCTTCAGGAAGTGAGTGAGGCTTTGGGGCTCAAGTTAGGTCTCAGGTAGAACTGCCAAGAGGGGAGGATTCCTAGAATAGGGACAAGGAAATTGCCTTCTCTGAATGGCTTCCGGCGTGTGAGGCTGCCATCGGTGTGGTCTGGGTTTGGTCCAGTCTTACTGGACACCAAAAGGTTGGTTGAAGTCATTTATAGAGAGGCCTTTTTTGGTGAAATTGTAATTCACAGTACAGAAAGTTGATGACTAGAAACTGCTGTCATAGGGAGGAAACCCTTTGTGTTTCACAAACAAGTGAAAACCCGGAAGTGTGGGGGGAGAGTGAAGTACACAGTGTCCTTCAGCGTGTCCGTCTGAAGCCCCCGGGCCAGGTTAGTGCAGGTGCTCTTACACCAGCTGACGTTTACTGGCGTATGTGACAGCATAGTTCACGTTTAACCCCTTCCCCAATAATTTTTTTGTTAAAAACGTTTCTTTTTCAGACTAATTTTTTTATTTTGGTTCTATATAGTATTTTTGATGCTGGTTATGAAAACAGTTTGTAATTATTTTTTCTTCCCATTTTTGTGGTTAAGAATAGTATTTCCTCAGAAAGTTTCTAGATGAAATTATTTAGAATGGTACGTATGTAGCTGGTTTTTGAAGGTAAAGTTTTTAGACGAGTATACTCGTCAACGACTGAAAAAAGAACATTTTGTGAAAACGTGTATACACGTTTCTGCCGGGGAAGGGGTTAATCATAAATGTAATTGTATGATATAGGAGGCTAAAAACGGTAAATGTGACAGTGTTTGCCTTTCTAGACATTTCTTCAGATGTAGCTAGGTATATATGTGGGGCCAGAAAAGAAAATCCCCTATAGTTTTGTAAAATCTGCAGGCACCTCCGAATGGGAGGGAAATCTGGGGGTGATTTTCAGGACCTGCCCATTTCTCAGTTTGGCCAACTTGTATGAATCCTCTTTGTATGTATTTTCTTCCTCCCGTGTGTCTGGGCAGCAACACTGGAGCCCCCCGGTGCCCAGGGCCAGGATGGGTCCCCCGAGCTGCTGATCCGGTCCCTGGTTGGAGGCCCATCTGCAGAACTCCTCCTGGACTTGGAGCGTGTGCTGTGCCGTGAGGGGGGCCCTGGGGGGGCCCTGAGGCCCCTCCTCAAGCGCCTCCAGGAGGAGGCCCAGCCCTTCCTCCTGTTGCTGCGGACTCTGGATGCCCCCGGGCCCAACAAAACCCTGCTGCTGATGGCGCTGAGGTGAGGGACCTGTCCAGGCCCGTGCGTTGGTGGCGAGGGCCGCTGGCAGACTGTAGGGACTTCACTTGTTTCCATCCCCTCACCAGGGTCATGACCCAGCTGCTGGATTACTCTGAGGCAATGACCCTCCCCTGGCATGAGGTCTTGGAGCCCTGCCTCAACTGCCTGAGTAGCCCCAGTAGTGACTCTGAGGTACCAGAGACGTGGCAAGGGGAGGGGAGGGAAAGGCAGGTTCGGGCCCCAGCTCACTCTGGACTCCCAGCACCCCAGTCTTCCGGTCCTGCCTTTGGTACTCTCCTTTCCCTGGGCTTCTGAGTTGCTCCAGGATCTCAGCCAGGACCTTCCCTGTACTAACCGCCCCCCCCCCCC